AAGCACTCACTTGAATGAGTAAAATAATTTTTTGCTCTTTTTACATGTATGTGGGGTGAATGTAGCATTGCAAGTTCAGTCTGTCTGAAAGGTCAACTGAACTGAGAGAGAGAAAGGCTAAAGTTTGTGAAAAGACAGTTCTTTGAGAAAATGGTATGTAAATGACACAATGCTACTAGGACTGCACGTGCTGCATCAGAATCTTTAGAAAGGCGTTCATTAGTTTAGCCTTTTTTTGATGATCGGGCTCTGTTGCTACAGGGTTACAGTTACTATTGCCTTGTCCCGAGGCAGAATTCTTTGCTTTCATCACCTCTACCACCTGATAGGATCAGAAACTTGTTCGTCCTTTTCTTGCTGATTGTCTTCTATTTCTTTTTGTGCTCATGTTTCTGCAGTTTTCTGTTCAGGAATGATAGATTACTATTTTTTCTCATTTATGACATTCAATTAATTTCCTTCCCCTGAGCCTGATGATTTCCCAACATTTTCCTCATTAGGTTGTCCCATAGCCTTTTTTGAGTTGGAGTCATCCACATGTTCCCCAGCATCATTGTTAGATGCCCTCCTTGGCTGGGGTCAAAGTTGAAAGCGGCTCTGCAGCAAATGGAGAGGCCCATTTTCAGGAGCAGACACTACTTTTTTTCTCTTTTTTTGTCCAAGTCTGAAAAAAAAAAAAAACAGTAGAAAGAGGAAAAAACAATTAGCAATGAAAGTGCACTAGTCTGTTAATAACTTGTAGTCAAAGACACCAGTATAGCTCAGTTCGTTGAGCAGCTGACCCATATGCCAAAAAGCTACTGCAGGGGCCTGGCTTTGATTCTGACCTGGGACATTTGTCAGTCTATCAGCACTCTGACCCTCCTTTCCTCTCTGATCTACTGTCCTGTCATAAAAATAAATCTTTAACAGGGGAAAAATATTTTGCAGTTAAAATAAACTAGTCCTACTAAGTAGACATTTAATCAAAAGGTCATAGCAAAAAACAAAAAACAAAAACAGTTTTCAAGAAAGCCTCAGACTGCATTAAAATGGATAATCAAAATAAAAGTCAACAAAATTTGCTCTCTTTCAATTTTTAACTTGTGTATTAATCCAGTTATAAAACTAGAAAATATTATTATATGTATAATATATAACCAATTGCTTGGGTCTATGCTAATGTTTCTCTACTACAATTATGAGGAAATACCTGAGGGTTAAGTACAAACAATAAAGGACAGCCCTACTGCCACACACTTTGTACTTTGCATCACAACGCTAAGCACACATAATACAAATTTGAGTGTTTCATCTAATGGTGTTACACTCTCCCTACACTAAACCATAAACAGACAAACTCTACAGGTCAGGATATATTTTACAGGTTAACTATAAATGCTCCTCCCATTAGTTACTTGCATTGATTCACTTTGTATGGTGTTGCTCTAATGAAGTGAAAGTGTTTAAAATAAGTGTTTAACAGTACAAGAATTCACAGAGAAAGCCTGAAAGAACCTCAGCATAAATCTAACAGCTGACATTAATTTTGCAGCCTTAATACTGACAGCCCTGTTTTTGTTTGTTTCTTTGTTTGTTTTTAAGCTTGTTCATTTTTGTGCAGGTTATTATACTACCGTAATCAGCCATACTCAGAAGCACATAAAGAAACATTAGACATGATAAATCTTGAAATAGGTCAGTTGTTTTATTTGTTGTTGTTCCCAAAAATGACCTCTGGCAAGAAAGCCTACGTTGTGCTACAAATGGCTTTGTAACTTTCTACTATAAATAAATGTCTGATTTTTTTTTTATTACTACAGTTAAAAAGAACAAAACAACAACAAAAAACTGGACAGTCTGGGCAATGAGCTTCCAGAAATTTTCCTGTTATTTTACACATTTATTACTTACAATCTAACTGCAATGAGTCATAAATTTTCCAGGGCCGAGCAATATCCAGGCCAACTATTTTAACAGATTAAATACATAAGATGACAACAAATATGATACCTGAATGAATTGCAAAGAGAAAAATACACTTGTAGCAACATTATACCATCCATCAATGATTATAAATAGCATCACTATGTAGAAATAAAAATTAATGATGGTTATAAGTCAAAGCAAAAGTCATTAATGAAAATGTGTTAATGTCACAGGCGTTAATTAAATAAACAATCCATTTCCTAAAAGCTTATCTGTCTAAAGTATTTGAGGAATATTTGATTAGTGTAAGAGGAAAAAACAAAGATTACCTGCTAGTTGCTCAAATTTCTTAACTTTATCCATAACTGTAAGAAAATAATTGCAAAGAGAAAAATTACACTTGTAGCAACATTAAACCATCCATCAGTGATTATAAATAGCATCACTATGTATAAAAATGGCTGTAAGTTAATAGGCAGTTGATAGAATAATTATTAATACTTATAGTTAACAGAATACTTTATTGAATCCACTCAATTTAAATCAAACGTCTGCACTTCAGTCATATATTAGATTTGAAATTCACTGTGGTGGTGTACAGAGGCATTGCTAACATGTGTTTGTTTTTAACGTATTACTTGTATATATATTTTTTGATTTTGTGTATTTTTAATAATTTTATAGGAAATTTTATGTAAATTCTATCATCCAGGTGTCATATTTGTTGTCAGTTTATGTATTTAACCTGTTAAAATAGTGTTGCGTATTGCTCGGCCTTGGAAAAATTACTTTTACTCTTAAAACAAGAATTTACACCAAATTGATAGTTTACTCTTTTTGAGGGGCAGTGTGAAATCTGAGTACGGTGTCACAAATGGCAGTATACCGTCTAGCCAACAGTTTCATTATTATTTCTCTCTTACCTTACAAGAAAGAAACAAACCAAAAAAACCCAACTTGAACCAGTGATCATGGAGAGTTACAGTAGCATTTCTTATATTTGATAGAGAAAACTGTATTTATGCAAGCACATGTTTCAAACAAATGCAACTTTTATTTTAGTGCGGTGTTCATGATTGACTATTAAAAAAAGAATCCTTAGTTTAAATCCAAAATCCCTCAAAACCCTTTAGCCATTTTGCCATTTTTACACTAGACTGCTGCAGTTTTAAATTGAGGGTTTTGTTTTTGTTTCTCATTGATTTTTTTCTTTTGTTTTGTTTTTTCTTACTGATTGGTATAGAGTTAGAGAAAGATGCAGATGATGAAGCAAAGGCCCAGATGACCCAGAATACACAGAGGGATCTAGGTCCTGGTGATGAGCACAGGGATGATGCCACCTCACATTATGTCACTGGAGAACCTAAAGAAGACACTGAAAAGGACAAAGAAGAAAATAAATCAGCTGACATGAGAGAACTGGAAGAGCTGCCAACAAGTCATGCTGAGACAGGTGCAGAAACAACACCAATGAACTACTTTTTTCCCCTGATATAGAAAAACTTGCAGTTTGAAAAAAAAACCATTTAAAATAATTAGCAAAAGTGTATCTGAAGAAAAATATGAATCAGATGATGTTGATGATATAAGAGGCAGACAAGGGTGAAGTTCATCCATCCATTCGCTTCCGCTTATCCTTTTCAGGGTCGCGGGGGACGCTGGAGCCTATCCCAGCTGTCATAGGGCGAGAGGCAGGGTACGCCCTGGACAGGTTGCCAGTCTCTCGCAGGGCTAACACCAGTGTTGGGACTAACGCGTTATTAAGTAACGCGTTACAGTAACTACGTTATTATTGTGGTAACGAGCACGGTAACTAGTTATTATGCCAAAATCAGGAACGCGTTAGTCGTTACTGGGATTTAGATAGGCTCGTTACTCGTTACTTCGTGTGGTGGCTATCGCGAGCTTCCACAGATTCAGTAACATTAGCAAGTGGTGGAGGCAGCAGGTGGATGAGGAAAGGGGAGGCAGGAGGAGGAGAGAGACCCGAGGCAGCCGCTGTCCGAGTGTCAGGTGAACTGAACTTCAGGTAAGAAGTTATGACCTGCAGTCTCATCTGGTCAGATATAAACCAAGTTTAGGTGGAGTTTATTTTGTTATTCTGACTTTTTCCGTACTGCGTACTAGCTAGCATGACGGAGTTTCTATACAGCTGGGTGGGTGCTATGAAGATGTTGAACTTTATTTTGTTCATAAGGTTAATTATTAGAGTTTCCAACCGTCCCGTAAAAAACAGAATCGTCTCGTATTCAGAGAAAATATTACGCGTTTTTGTCCCGGACTTCAGCTACAATGAAAAAGAGACAAAGCTGCAGTTATTCTGTGTCTTTGCTGCACAGCTGCCTCTTCTTCTCTCATTCTCTCCCCTCCCTCTCCTGTTTCTACTTCAATCATGAAACTGATCAACGGCTTTTCTCTCTTGTTTGTTTATCGCCCACTTTGCGCCAGAAAGAAACCAGCTGATGTCGCGCTAAACAGCAGCAGCATGTTTAAGCTTGATCAGCTGTTGTTAGAATTTATTTAATATTAATCTTCTAGTATCAGCTGATGTTTGCTGGAGCCACAGCTGTAAAGCTGCTGGTCATGATATCGGTTTGGTTATGTGGTGAGAGGGAAACATGAAGATGAAACCAGGAGATGTCCTTACTGAATCATCAGAGCTGAACAGGTGATGGAGAAACAGGTTTACCTTTTAGGTGACATGAATGAGTTGAAGGGAAGTTATGAACTGTTTCTGAGAGACAAATAACACCAGGATCCTTTTTCTAGTAGCTGACAGCTGGTAACTGTGCAGGGGCGGGTCTAGCAAAGTGTTGCCAGGGGGGCAGTGGGCATTAACAGGGAGAGGGGGGCACAAGAAATACTTTTCTTTCTTATTCTCATTTAAAATGTCTCGCTTTTAAAAAATAATTATCTGAATCTTACAACAAACGATTGATAGATTGATAGCATATATACCATCAAACAGTGTACATCACTGTCACAACAGTGTTTGTTTTCATTCAAAGGCTTTATGATTTTTCCTATAATGGTGGGCCGGTCTCTAGTCAAAATGCCCGGGCCGATTTTTTGTCCCAGTCCAGCCCTGTATGCAGCTCATCTGCAGTCTGGTGTTAGCCTACATCTTCCTATTCAGAAGGCAGAATTTCCGAGTTTGAGTCAATCAAAGCACCACGACTGCAGTTTTTGTGTTGGATGTAAAAAGCGCACATGATGCTGTGACGTAGGCTAGAATCATGGCCGCAGTCAACGACGGTCCAGGCGTGGGATTTCTCTTGTGGAAATATGCACATTATTATAATTTTTTGTATTGGTAGGTGGCACAGTGCACTTGTTGCAAGTAGAAGACTGGCAAAGTTATGGAAGCAACACATTAACAAGAAAATTCTGAGTAAAACCAAAGTTACTTTCCCTAGTAACTCGTTATTTTGAAAGTAACGAGTAACTTGAAGTAACTGAGTTACTTTTGATAGAAGTAACTAGTAATGTAACTAAGTTACTAATTTAAAGTAACTTACCCAACACTGGCTAACACACAGGGACAGACAACCATTTGCACTCACATTCACTCGCACATTTAAACCTAGTGGCAATTTGGATTATCCAATTAACCTATCCCCACAAGCTGCATGTCTTTGGAAGGTGGGAGGAAGCCGGAGTACCCGAAGAGAACCCATGCAAACACGGGGAGAACATGCAAACTCCAAGGGTGAAGTTATAAAAGCTAATTCCACTGAAGCACAGATGAAAAAAAAAGTTAAAAACTTGCTCTTTAATAAGAACAAAGAGGGTAAAGAAAATGTATACAGTTTAGAAGATGGAACCCCCAATTTTTTTATCTTATAAATACACAGTATGAGAGTATGTACGTCCAAATGGACGTGTATTTAGGCCCTTAGGTTTTTGGATAGTTCCAGAGTTTTTCTCATTTTGCCTCTGTACACCACCACAGTGAATTTCAAATCTAATATATGACTGAAGTGCAGACGTTTGATTTAAATTGAGTGGATTCAATAAACTATTCTGTTAACTATAAGTATTAATAATTATTCTATCAACTGCCTATTAACTTACAGCCATTTTTATACATAGTGATGCTATTTCTAATCACTGATGGATGGTTTAATGTTGCTACAAGTGTATTTTTCTCTTTCCAATTCATTTCTTACAGTGGGTTTTAAGGAGCGTCTTAAAAACTTTCAGCAACTGGCAGGTAATCTTTGTTTTTCCCTCTTACACTAATTAAAAACCACTGAAATAAAATCATCTTCAAATACTTTAAACAGACAGACTTTTAGCAAATGCATTGTTTATTTAATTAACACCTGTGACATTAACACATTTTCATTAATGGCTGTTGCTTTTACTTGAAACTATCATTAATTTTAATTTGTTGGTACGTCACAGCTTTTTTTTCTTCAAAGTTATATTAAATAGTAACCAATTTATAACATGAAAACAAGCATTTACATGAATAAAATAAGTCATAAACCAAACTAAGTTTTCAGCAGTCTTGTTAAAAAATTGTTTCTGAATCCCAATCCAGGTTTTTATGTTGTTTAATCTCCAGAAAGAAATTCTTATCTTTGTTTCATTCTTTTGTTTTTCCAATTTAGAAAAGAACAAAGATGAACCTCATGTGGTCACAAGAAAGTCTTCTTTTTTAAACGATAAAGGACAACTGGATAAGAAAGTCAAGAGTGGTCAATTGGAAGAACATACCGAAGCCACACAGCCTGATCTGCAAACACAGATTCCTTCTGAAGGACCAGGTTTGAAAATTAAACTATGCCAGTTAGATTCAGAATAACTTTGCACATGAATTTTTCTGACTCATTTCTGAATGTGTAATAACATAATTCAGTTTTTAGGGATCATTTGCCAAATGAATGTCTTTTTCTTTTACCTTATTATATTACATTACATTGCCTGAGTTATTACTTGTATATATATTTTTTGATTTTGTGTATTTTTAATAATTTTATAGGAAATTTTATGTAAATTCTATCATCCAGGTGTCATATTTGTTGTCAGTTTATGTATTTAACCTGTTAAAATAGTGTTGCGTATTGCTCGGCCTTGGAAAAATTACTTTTACTCTTAAAACAAGAATTTACACCAAATTGATAGTTTACTCTTTTTGAGGGGCAGTGTGAAATCTGAGTACGGTGTCACAAATGGCAGTATACCGTCTAGCCAACAGTTTCATTATTATTTCTCTCTTACCTTACAAGAAAGAAACAAACCAAAAAAACCCAACTTGAACCAGTGATCATGGAGAGTTACAGTAGCATTTCTTATATTTGATAGAGAAAACTGTATTTATGCAAGCACATGTTTCAAACAAATGCAACTTTTATTTTAGTGCGGTGTTCATGATTGACTATTAAAAAAAGAATCCTTAGTTTAAATCCAAAATCCCTCAAAACCCTTTAGCCATTTTGCCATTTTTACACTAGACTGCTGCAGTTTTAAATTGAGGGTTTTGTTTTTGTTTCTCATTGATTTTTTTCTTTTGTTTTGTTTTTTCTTACTGATTGGTATAGAGTTAGAGAAAGATGCAGATGATGAAGCAAAGGCCCAGATGACCCAGAATACACAGAGGGATCTAGGTCCTGGTGATG